ATTCAGAGACTAGTCAGGAAGTGAAAGGGCCCTGGGGACCAGAATGTACCTTCACTATGCTGGGGCAATTATTTATCCAGGAGGAGTCAATGATTGGCCCCGGGTTATCCACCAAGCCTCCAGGTAGGGCTTGGATCCTGCACTTAGGATACCTGTCAGCCCCTCATTCTCTGAGCCTGGCCTCCCGAAGCCGCTGAATAAACTTAATTTGGAGGGTGTGCCCTAGCAAGCTCAGCTCTTCAAAGTCTCCCGTCCTGACTGGTTCTCCACTGGAACACAGATTCCCTCAAAAAGATGCTGGAGAGATCTGTGGTCACTCTGGAGATCAAAGAGGGAGCAGCTGGATTACTCATGACCACAGTTGAACCAGGATTCCCAGAAAAAGGCAAAGGTTCACTAGGACAACCTCCGCCCTCGGCCAACTGTTCCTCCCTGCCCGACTTTCTTCATTTCCAAGTCAGGAGAGGGGAAGCCACCCTGCCAGGACCTGATTCTCTTCTTCCTCTGGAGGAAAGATCCTTCAGGACAACGTAGGACCAGACGCTGTAGGAGTTCCAGTGCTCAGACCCAGAAACAAGCAGTCACCTCTGCTAGGTCTTGTCGCCCATCCTTCTTGGGTTACATGTTAGAATATATCCCAGAGGGCACAGCTAGAGTATTGAGCCTCTCACAAAGTCTCGGTCCTTTGGAGCCTAGGGGAGCAGTTGAGGAAATTATGTTTCAGGACCCCAGTTAGGGCAGAAAGGAGGATAGGATACACCAGACTCCAGTCCCTGATGCCACCAGATCTTGTCTACCGGATACTCTTCTCGGAATGACATGGTATAGAGAAGGAAGGATGCCACGAGAGATGCGGAGTCGAACTAAAGCTGACTCCTGGCCTTGGACCGCGCAAGACCCCCGGTCCTAGAGTACAGGGGGGCTCACCCACCAGACTGGTTGGTCTTGAAGGGCTTTCCTCTTCCCAGAGGCCCTCTGTTCCAGCTGGCAGCACTCAGGGGCGCTCGGGGCGGGGTTCCTTTGGCCTGTAGCTCACTACTCGGGAAGTTCCCACGTGACCCACAATCTACCGGGCACCCTGGACGGACCAGCCTTGAAGTTGCTATCTGGCCCATTATAGACGCCTGATTGGTTTCCCGTTTATGAAACCCCTCGGCTCTCCAATCTTAGCCGGGTGATGATTGCAGGAAGGCCCTGTATTGTGCTGCAGAGCCGGTCTTGGGATCCCCGAAAACAAAAACAAAGAAAAACAAAGGTGGTCCTTCGAGGGCGGGCTTGAGGGCTGCAGTTCCCACGCGAAGGTGGCCACTTCCCGGCCTCTCCTCGCCCCGCCCCGCCCCGCCCCGCGGGGACCCAGTCCTCCTCACCCCATAGGCAGAGCGACCCTCCCGCCTCCCCGCCGGCTTCTTCTTCTTTAGCCCCCGCCTTGTTCACTTTCAAAGTTTACTCGGGGCCGGGACCTGCAGCGGAAGCGAGACATGGCTGTCTACCTCGGGATGCTGCGCCTCGGGAGGCTGTGTACCGCGAGCCTGGGGGCGCAGGGACCCCGGACGCTGCTCTCTCGGCCTTTGCAGAACTTGAAGTTACACTGTGTCCGTGCTCTCAGGTACCCGGAGCAGCTCCCCGAAAAGAGAGGGGGCTGGGCAGTCCCGAGGAGGAGGAGGAGGGAACTTGGGAGTTGTGCAGAGTTTGGCAGGGACTGACCCCACTCTGGGTGGTCCTCACTCACACCACACTACCACTTAGGCAAAGGGAATAGCGGGCCTTCTGGGGCTGCCTCCTGGTAGCCGCAGTAGTCCTAGACAGAGTCCAAATTCTAGATCAGGATTCTGTATGCGTCCCGTGTGGCACACAGAGCCAGGGTGTAGGCTTTTAACAGCATACCCGAGGAACACGGTTGAGTGTGACCGGGACACTCTCAGCTGTATCTGCTTCGGTGAAAAACTTGGGACGGTTTACGGGTCCTCAGGGAACTGGGTATAGCAGTTCCTTCTCTCTGTTTTCTTTTTTTCTTTTTCAACACAGGGTTTCTCTGTGTGGCCCTGACTATCCTGGAACTCTCTCTGTAGACCAGGTTGGCCTCGAACTCACTGAGATCCACCTGCCTCTGCCTCCCGAGTGCTGGGATTAAAGGCTTGCACCACCACCACCACCACCACCACCACCACCACCACCACCACCCGGTTTCTTCCCTCTGTTTTCAACATTGCCACTTACTTTGGGGTCTGATTTAGTCAGTCCTCGGTGCAAGGGCTGGGAAGGGGTTTGGCAGGAGAGGGTTGGTGGAATAAAGCTAATGTGGTCAGGCACTGAAGGGACCGGTGGGAAAAGCCAAGGTTGGGAGAGCTGTCTGTGCAGTAAGGTTGAGTGGTGGTATCTTCTGCCTCCAGCAGGGGGAAGGCCTGCACATGGCTGCTCATGCTCTGCCACACGGTCTGGCAAGCTATTAAGCCTACTGTCCGTATTATGCCGGCTGCCGGCTCGCACAGGAGAAGTGGAAACGCAGTCGAGAGAGGGATATACCTCTGCAAACTGGCTTTAAAGACACCACGAAGGCGGCGAGGGGTGGGGCGTGCCCTTAAGGCTGAGGCAGGCAGATAGATCTCAGTTCCAGGCCAGCCTGGTCTACAGAGTGAGTTCCAGGACAGCCAGGGCTACTACACAAAGAAGCCTTGTCTTGAATTCCCTGCCTCCAATAAAAAGATTTTTCTGAGAAGAAGTTGGACAGATAAGTTGGAAGATGCCTTTTTGACCGGAACTCTCAGATTACCACCTTCTGAAAACTAGGAAGCAAGCAGTAGTGTGTGTATGTGTGTGTGTGTGTGTGTGTGTGTGTGTGTGTGTGTGTGTGTGTGTGAACTCTCAGATTACCACCTTCTGAAAACTAGGAAGCAAGCAG